TATATGCCGGAGTGATGTCCCTTTTATATGCTAGAGTGATTCCCCTAATCGTAAAATATGCTTTATAACATAAGGACTTTGCAATTAGTTACGTCATAATGGTGTAAATTGATGCTATCAGTGTTCATGATGGCTCGATATTATTAGTTGAAACCTTAAGAATATTGTGTGAGTTACACCACTGGCCAGCTCTAGATCATTTAGACCAAATCAAAGGTCATTCCCATCCCAAATCATTCAACTCACCATGGTCCAGCGACTACCAGTTGGTCTGAGGTAAGAAATGAACAACCCATACAAGGTGTAACAGGTGTGACAGGTGTAACAGGTATGATAGGGAGCATGAGTTTAATAGCACGTGTAGAATGATGTAATAATTTCAATCTTCTATGATATGGAAATAAGGAATATGATAAACTAAGTACCAACGCAAAACGAAACCCAAAATCTATGGCGGGGAATGTGTGTCAATATTACATGCTATGTAGGTAATGCTAAATGCTATGTAGCTAATACATATTACAAGTTTAATTTCGCAAATGTAAGAAGTTAATGCAAAATGTTGAATGCCTTCAGATCTGTGAATATTACAAAAATTCGAATATAATGGTATTTTGATGCCTAACTATGTTACTGACCAGTGAATGACGAAGCTTATACATGGCCAATTTTTTATCAAAGCAGTTTGACCTTAAATTTTGGTATATAGTTTTCACAAATTTGAGCTAAAACAACAATTTTGATCTACAAAACAAGCGGAATGTCCCTTTAAAAAACGGGTGAAAACATTTAGTCTCGTTCTGATATGGATTGTACAATGCCGATGTTATCGTACACTGCCACCATTTTCAGCAATATCACCAGGCATTTTTGAAACTGATGGTGATGTAACCGGGCCAAGCCCCTCCTGTGCAAGCCATAGTTTACAGCCTTTCTCGACAGAATGTCGGGCCGCTAATTGGTGCCTCTGCTACTGCAGTCAAGGTATAAGATCTAAGTTTGTAAAATCTTGACATTTTGAAGATGTGATAGATGAAAGATTGACATTGTGATGATGTAATACAAGAAAGGTGGCTATTACAGTCAAGGTATAAGATGAAGATCGTAATAGCTTGACATTGTGAAGATCTGATACAACGAAGTTGACTATTGCAGTCAAGGTATAAGACGAAGTTTGTAATAGCTTGACATTGTGAAGATAAACATGTTTTTTTTTATTAATCGCAGATTTTCTCTGCTACTTTATAATTGGCTTTGTAAGGTCGTTTCATATTATCTGGAATCTTGTCCAAGGTAACGTTAAATAAATAACAGGAAAAATTCCTAGTATGGTTTTGAGTGCAAATCGTTTTACATTCACTCATCTCGTTGCACTTTTCAATACATTGGTCTTCTTTTCCATCCAACGACACGAAGATGATTGGTGTTTTGTAACGAAGACATGTTCCAAGCCAAGTGGTAGAAGTGGAACATTTGGTATCGTTAGCACAGTTTTCATCACATTTCGCTGAATCAGACACAGTTCTTTCTGCGTAGGCACGGGGCGTCAAAGATTTTACATTTGAATACTTGTATCGACAATCTGAAAAATAAAATGAATGGAGTTTTACGTCCAACTTTTCTGCACCATGTGGGATAATGATTAAAGACGGGCAACGCCATGCAGTGTGCAATGAGGGAAATTTTTTACCAGGACAGCGGGTTTCCTACTCTTGTTCGATTTCCAACTGTCGAGAATCTTTAACGTGTACA